TAGCCGTGCCAGCGAGGGCCCGGCTCACTGGCCCTCCCCGGGGCTCTTTCAGGAGGAGGGTCAACCCTATTTCCCGCCATTGGGGGGTGGCCACTTGCGGGGCTGGCACCGCCTAACGAGTCCCTTTCGATGCGGTCCACCGCGGAGGGTTGACGCTGGGGTGGTAAAGTATCGCCGGTAGGCCTGGTTCTTAGGAGTCCAAATCGGATCGCCTCATTCTCCATGATCTCCAACATTTCACGGAGACTGTTAAGCGTCGGGAAGGTCGAAACTTCAGTGACTTGATCAAGACTGCTATGTAAATACATAACGCATTTCACCCTAATCAATGGGTACAGTGGTTGCTCTCTTCGGTTACTGTTACTTGAACCTCTGTACATTGTGAAAAAAAAGCGTCAATTGCCCCTTTTGTATTTTTATCCCCTTCCCAGGATTCTTTTAGCCTATGTTTGGTGTCTTACCCAGAAACTTCGACTCTGAGTTGGATATGATCTTTACAGGCTCAAACAAAACCGCTACAGATGTTTTATTTTATCCCCCTTTTGCTTTAAATCGCGTTTAAGAGAAGATTGTGAGGGGTACAGGGTTTGCTTCCGTCGAATCTCCCTGGGTTGAAATCATCAAACTAATTTCAGGCAAGAGAAGAAAAAAAGAATGGAAAGAGAAAAAGAGTGCAAACAATTCAAACAGACTGGCACTGACAAACAAAATAAGTATTTGTGGATGCCGTTTCAATTTCTCATAGCCTTCCGCCATTCGTTCTTTATGTAGCCCTTGCATTGCCGTGCGTGTGCGTGTGCTTGAAAAGTGGCATGTCTCAACATTTAAATTAGAATAATTAGGATTAAAATAAAATTGAAATTACTTATCAGTTCACAACCTTTCTCTCTCGAGAGAGAAACTAAACACATCCAGATATTAAAAATGGGAACTTTATCGCGTTCATTTTTCTGGACACGTCGATGTGCCCCTTCCCTTTTTTCTCTCTGGAAATAACAACAGCAACTACAGGAGAAAAGGCCATCATCTACAGCCTTACGCAGAAAACCCCCACACTTCTTGGAGGTTTCGGCCTTCACCATCGCTTTCTTACAAGAATAGAGTCCTTAGACTGTATCCACGATTGTGACGATATCTGAAAACTTCAACATATCCTGGTTCGTACTGCTTTCAGGATGATTGAACAGATTCTGGGCGAAGGTAACGCTATCCGCATCGACCGAAACCACCTCAAACTCACCGTCCCGCTTCTTAGCATTTTCGATCACCCGGGGAAGTTGATCGACAGGGACGGCCAAGTAAGCTGCAAGCCTCGCGACTGGAATAGATTCTAATGTTAGGCTGATGCACTCCAAAATACTGGTGCGAACACGCGTCTCGAAATGGAACGACTCTGGCAAGTGTTCCTTGACCTTGCTCCACTGAGACCAGAATTTTGTAAATTGGCCGCATGTTAGAAAATTCTCCAGCTCGTAAATGTAAGCGATTTCCTTCTCTACGCTGGAGGAGTCCTGCATGTAGCTCGCGACAAGGCACATACATGCTGTGAAATCACTAGTGTGGAATCGCGCTAGCGACTGCATCAGGATTCCGAGTAGAATAGCCTTATCGGGCTGCGTGCCGCTCATAGCGAAGGTCTTGAGGTAGCGAAGAAACATTGGGAGGTCGTACCTCCCATCACTCAAGACCTGGGCTACGTCCCTACCGTCTTCCTGCTGCGACATTTGGTATGATGATGATGATAGACCTGGTTTTGTGTGTTGCTCACTTTACTTTAAAATTGTTGCTTATTTCGTAAATATCTTTTCCCCTTGCACGTGAGTACGTGAAATTGAACAAAGAGCAAACAGGCAGAGAAAATAAGCAGTGGGAACAGGATTATATACTCAGGATATCAACTCCCTAAAAAAAAATCAAGGGACTTCTAAAAAACATAGGCTTATTGGGAGGGGTAAGACGAAGCTGATAGAATATCTCGCATTGTGACACAACTCATGAAGAATAAATCCAATACATTCATCAAGACCCAATTGAAGGGAACCGGTTCCGGAAGGTGAGCTGGTAAAAAACGTCACTCTCTTTTCTGTACTTTCCTGATAGTTAATATTTTTCGAGAGAGTAAAAACAAAGGAACTTGTCACTTTAATATAATATTCTCTAAGAGTACTGAGGGGAAAAAATACAATAGTAGAGCGTGTAACAGCACATCAAGAACAAAGAGCCCTGTTTTGGCGATCAAAGCATATCAAAGTGCATTGCTAAACCCGTTTGCACTCAAAAATTTCCGTTCCAAAATGAAGGGGCAATGATAGTGAGAAAATATTGCGAACTAAATCTCTTGTAGAAAAAGGTGGCCTTGACTTCATTAATTCTGGAAAAGACAGAGCAATTTGACAATATCCCTCATCATTATGCCTGGTGCAGAGAAATCTTCATATGTGATGGTGTCGATCCAACACATTGTGGACCGCCGCTCACTTCTGATAGCGATAGCAAAGTGCCGACATTGGCCTTATGTGCGGTCAACTTCAGAGTATCATTGTGTGGAGCCTGCCGATCGAGTGTATCTTTTGTGTTCTTAATGCATCCCTTATCTTTACGTCAAAGGCAAACACAAGAGACGAGAAAGAGAGAGAAAAAAAATTGCATACAAGGCGGTGAAGAGGAGGGGGAAGAGGTCCATTTCATTCATTTTAGCAACCTTTTTTGAGGCTGATGGTGGAACACACTGGGCTTTCTTAAATCTATTAAATAAGCCTCAACTTTCAGTACTCAATTACCTCTTTTAATATATTTGTGGTTTATGGAGTTGTTCCTATTAAACCACTCCAGACACTGTCAAGATTAACCGATTACCAGATTCATAAAAATCTGCTAACTGTCATCATAAAAGTACAGTGACGGTGGGTTTGCCCAAAGTGAGTTTCTTCTACCAGCCGAAACAAGGTCCCTTAGGGATGTAAAGACCCGGTTAGGATTCCTCAGTAAGCGCCAATGATAAACCCTTCCGAAAACGCGTTTTCAGAACGAAATCGCGCGCCAACTGGTGCCCCCGTGCCGGCTCCAGTGGGTGCACGCGGATGGTCGTGTCGTAGGGATCCCCCGGTACCATATCCCACTGCTGAAACCAAAAGTACGGAAAGGCCTGCCCGTGGGTGAGCATCCGGATCTGCGTCTCGAGACCAAAGCTGTCGATCGAGGGCACCACCGCCCGCACACGCACCAACGTCGTGGCGGCGATGGGCTCCTCCCCGACCACCGCCCCTCGCCGCTGGCGGAGGATCTCCGTCAGCTTCTGGACGCACTCGCCCGCGCAGAGAACCTCACAGGCGAGCACCGGCTCGAGCAGCCGGGGTTGCGCGCCGAGCAGCCCCTGACGAACCGCCGCACGCGCGTTGGCGAGGACGACAGGGGCGCGCGTCTCTGGAGTCGCCTCCAGAAGAACCAGCCTCGCCGCAACGCCGCGAACGACACCGCCGATGAGCGGCCCTGCCGCCGTGGCGGCGCGAAATCCGGCAATAATCGCCTGCCGATGGGTCGCCGGGATGGGATGACGGAGCTCCTCCTCGAGGGTGTCGTCGAGGAGGAGACTGGGGCCTTTGGTTTTGCTCGGCCCGAGCGCCATAAGGTGCTGAGCGTCGAGTGCATCGAACCCGTACTCCCGGCGCATCGTCGTCCACAGCTTCACAACCTTCTCGGGCTCTTCAGGGAAGAAATCCAGCTCTTCATATTCGATGGCGCTAACGAGGGCGGAGGGAAGGGTCCCACAGGTAAAGCCGACCCCCCTTCGTTGAGCACCCGCAACAGCCAGCAGGCCTTCCTCGCTAAGCACCGTCTCTGAGAAGGTGACATACGGTTGAGAAATCCCCAACTTTACTGTTGGGCACAGCACACGACGCAGACGATACAGGGTTGTATCCAAATGGAGCTCCCCATACCCGGTGAACGTATATTCGCCTGTCTCCTCCTTGTGAATGTCGAGCCCTGGCGAGGTGCGTAAAAGGATATCCAACCCGTGCTGGAACGCCTGGAGCTTCGCAGGCTCCTTCAGCTCAAGTGATACGTGCACCAACGGCTTCTCAGAACTAAGCTCCTTTAGGTGGATGTTGTTGATCCACTCCGTCCTTTTAACCTCATTCACCGCATGATTCGAGCTGACCTTGGCGTCATGGGCATCACGCTCACCATTTAACATGCGCTCCTCTTCCTGCAGCGCCGACACCGCAGACCCCCCTACCAGGACGAGATGATTCCCAACTTGAGGAGCGTCGATCTTGGTTAAATACACAATCTGCCCCGCATAGGCCGCTTCCACCGCCACAAACCCACCCTCAACGGTGCGAATGTGCAGCTTTTCCGGGGTAAGCGTATAGAAAGGGTTCACATCGCTGGAGTAATCATCGATTACGACGAGCTCGCCACGACCTACTGCCCCCCATCGACCGGTAGCGCAACGCAACGTCCCACGCACGACTCGCACCACCGCCGCCACCTCGTCCTCGTTAAACACACAAAATAAAGGCGCAATCGCCGCCACCGTGGCCTCCTCCTGTGGCCCCTCCGCCTCCACCTCCCCTTCCCCATCCTCAAAGCAGGCATTCAAGCCATAGCGGCTGCCCAACCAGCTCGCGCGCTGCTCTGGGGAAGGGAGAACATCTAAAAGGGCATCCAACCCCTCCCCGCTTGGATCGCCACAGAAGTACCGCACCGCTTCCTGAATCGCAGTCATTGGGGAACGTGGCAGGGCCGAGAGGTCCTTAGACAAGGACTGCGAGCCCTGCCCGGTGGCCGAGTGCGCGATCACTTTGTACAGCGGTTCTAAAATGAAGGTTACGAATGTGGGGCGTTCCCGGAAGCTGGTGATCCGCTTAAAGGCGCCCTGGTGGAACGTGACTTGGCCCCACATACACTGCGAAAGTGTCCCAACCTCGACACTGGGGTAGATCTCCGAGTATTTTTTCGAGAACGTCACCAGTGAGAAAAACAGGCCTAACCTGGCGGAGGAAAAGCATACCGTGCCGTTCTCCGGTGAAACCACAAGACTTCTAGATCCGGGGTTCTCCGGAGTCCCTGCGGCGCCGCCGCAGCTCACGATGACGTTGTTAACCGCATCCACCACCAGGCGGAGCTTGCGATACGCATCCAGTGGGGGCAACTTCAGATCTATAATGAGCCGATCCACTTTGGTTATGACGAGCACCACGGGAAGTTGCTCACGGAGGATGAGATGCCGCAACAGGCGCTCCCCCGCGGCGCCGAAGGATTCCACGGCATCCACGCAAAAAAGCGCCGCGTCCACCAGACGCAGGCCGGCGGCTGCTTCCTCAAAGAGGTCCGGATGTCCCGGGGTATCCACGAAGGTTATGAGCTGCGAGGAAGGGTGCAACTTATTCCCCCCCATCAGGGAAGATAGAACGTGCGTCTTGAGCGATATGTTTCGATCCTTTTCGCTTGGATATTGGATGTACCCCTGTCCACGAAGCAGCATTCGCAGCAGCGACGTCTTGCCGTGCTGGAGGTCGCCAACGAGGGCGACATTCTTGAGGCGCCCGGGAATTTGCGCTACCGCATCCAGAAAAGTAAGCGCCGTCGCCGCTGGTGTGGCGCGGTCGGCTATCATCAAGCCCGGAGCCCCTGTCTTGGTGCCCTCTAATAGAAGTTCGCTTCGCATGGCATCCCGCTTCGCACGGTGATAGCCGACATCCGACTCGACCAGCGGCTCCTTGATCGATTGCGTCGGCGTCTCCCCAATAATCAACTCGACATCGTCGCTAAAGCCGGACGTAGAGGAGGAGGTGTCAGATGAGTCGGAACCGTCCAACTCGCGGCCCTCCTCTCCAAAATCATCTCGCTCGTTTGAGGAGACGTCAGCTGTGGAGCCCTGACGCCGAGATGCCTTATAGTCTTCCTGAGAGCTCTCCTCGAGCTCTTCTACGCTTGCATCTTCGTTATCAGTGCATATGTGATTACCGTTTTCCTTAGGGCGAAAGTTCATGGCTATATGTGGATGATTTACTGGCCACTTTTTGTGGTGTGTACTCAGACGGTTTCCTTCTAGAAATTCTGTATATCTTCTGAACTCCTTTGCCACCCAAAGGAGGGAAAATAACTGTTCACCCTAAAAACACGCTTCCCAAGGGGTAGAACGCGTTGATATGTGCCCTCGTAGACGTAAAAGGGCAACACCAAAGGAAGATGTCTTTCTTATTTGAATACACTTTGAATCATGTGAATAAAGTGAAAGGGAAGATAAGAAATTTCAAAAGCAGGAAGAGGAAGCTCTTCAATAAAGTGGTAGTCCATTTAATCAATTATGACGCACTATCATCATTGTTGTATTTGTTGTAGCTTTATGGGGTTTATAATCCCCATGCAACAGCATCGCACTTCCTCGTTACTTGTCTAAATGGCGTCAGGCTTACGGAGCGACTGTGGCCTTATATTCGGTGCTTCGTGAAATGTCGCTAGAACTCGCTGCTCTAAGGAGAGCTGGCGCTCCCGTGTTTCGAGGCTATTACGAATCTGCTGCTCACGCAATGCCTTGAGTTCTTCCAGGGAATCACCCTCCAGTCGCATTGCCATGAGGTCCACCATGTCAGCGATGTCAGGGCGGTGCTCCTCAATGCCCTTGCTATTGAATATCATAATAGCAAAAATTGTAAAGGCAAGAGTCAGCACAGTTGACCATATATAATGAGTTTCGGGTGCAAAGTTGTATTCTGTTCGCCGCACTTCCCAATCTAAACAGGAAACAAGTCCAAGACGATTAATATACAATGTCCGCGATAGGCGCTCATCCTCCAGGATATTGAGATCTTTTAGCGCTTGATTGATCAACTCACGCTGTGCAGAGGCGCTTTGAATGGTTCGATTGCGACGGAAACCACTTCTAATCTGCTGAATAAGTAACATGCGAATAGTGACGTTGGGGATGCGGTTCGACGCCTTGAGGTAGCGTCGGTACAACAACGCTACGGCATCACTAGGTACTAAGGCTGACATTAACCTCCCTATTTATCTTTCTTCTCCACCTTCTGAAAGACCTAAAAAGAAAAAAAAACGGGTCTAACCCCTAAGTGTAGGTTCACTAAATTGTGAACAAAACTATGCGATAATAAGCGCTATAGTTCAACAACTTGCCTATTTATGTTCACAAAAATGGGAACTTTAAATATAGCACGGTGGAACCTTATGAACTTATGGAAAAACAATCCGTACAGTTCCGTTCAAAGACTCTGATTCGTTAAAAAAGGTCTTTTTCCTAAAAAAATTGAATCTTGCTACGAAAAAGTGCTGAGGGTATGCGACAGGTGCACTCCTTGAGAAGTGGAAGAGGAGGAAATGATAGAAGAAAGGTAAATTTGTAGACCGGTGGACCGAACTAGTAAAACTATCCCAATCCAGAATGAATAAGAGGAAAGTCGTGATGAAATGACTTAAGTAGTATTAATTTAAACGGTTGTGTGTCTTATACAGCAATTTAAAAGCCAGGAAACACAAGAGTAGCCACACATACTTAGGAAAACAATCAGGTGTTAGCATCAACAAATAACAGGAATCCCCTTTATTTTATAAGCATGTGTGTGTGTCTGTGTTGCCCATGTGGACTAGGCGTGGTTTACGTCATCTTTTTGATTCCCACAAATACCCCATTTTCCCACTGCGGTTTGGTCTTTTGTGCCTCGTAGTACCTAAGTGCGTTGAGCTTCCGGCGGTTCAGAGACTTCAGCTTACCCTTGACATACTCCTGCTTTTTCTGATCCGCTGCGTTCTTGGGAAGGGTAATGTGTGGTGTAGTGGTCAACGCAAATGAAGTGGCCAAGCGATCCAAGTTCAGCTGGTGCACGTTGAAGGTTTCCTTGAGAATGTGGCTTTGGTAGGCACCGACATGAGCGCGGAACGCACTCACGGCACTCTTCGCCACAACTTCATCCAGCTGCAACACGTGGTTAAGCTTCTCCTGGATGTCGGGAAGCTTTGCGGGCATGGGGTACTCCTCCAGCTTTATGCCGAAACGGCTCAAGTACGGGATGAAGTTCGCTTCCTCTGGGGCCAGGAAAAGCAAGGAATTCCCCACATTTCCGGCACGCGCCGTACGCCCGATACGATGAATATACTCGGTCGGATCTAAAGGAGGGTCGTACTGGAGAATCCACTCGACTTTCGGGATATCCAACCCACGGGCCGCCACGTCTGTGCAGAATAAAACGCCCTTCTCACAGCTTCGAAAGGCCTGAAAGACCGCGAGACGTTGCCGGTGCTTCATGTGCCCGTGCAGCATCATCACGTCATCATGAAAGCCGACGGAGCCCATCATCTGAAAATGGAACGTCGTGCTGGCGACAGAGGAGCAAAACACCATCGCCTTCGACGAACGCGCCACCCTTTTTACGAAGACGTAGAGGCTTCGCAGGCGATCCTCCAGTCGTACGATGCGGCAGAACTGACATAACGTGGAGGGGATCGCCTCGGCGGTCGCGTCGGGTTCCTCTTCCTCCGCCGAAAGGCCATCGTAGTCGCTGTTAAGGGCGCCTCCCTCGTCGGGAATCGCCGGCTCCGCGGTGGCGGGATCACTCACCTCGCCGAAGTGGCGGTAGGGTGGTAACGCAACGGCACCCAAGCTGAGGTCGGTGGAACCGTTGCCCGTGAGCGAAATCGAAACCGGTGCCGCCCCCGCCGTATCGATGAAGATCGGCGTGCGGGAGAGCGAAAGACGCGCAAGATCCCGCACCGACTTCGAGTTGGTTGCAGAAAAAAGAAGGGTTTGACGGCTTTTCGGGAGCCGTGAGATCGTGGCGTCGAGGTCGCGCTGGAAGCCATCTGCGAGCATGCGATCCGCCTCATCGAGCACGAGAAACCGCAGCCGCGAGAGATCCCACCCAGAGCAGTGTCGGACGTGATCGTGCACACGGCCCGGGGTGCCGATCACGATACAGGCCCCCGCAGTTAGCCGCTTGCGTTCCTCCGTGATCTTCGTACCGCCTGTAATCAGCTGAAGCGAAAAAGTTACCTCTTGGATGTGCTGACAGACGCTTTTTAGGACGTCATAGGTCTGCACACAGAGCTCTTTGGTGGGGCCGAGGATCAGCGCCGCGGTCGCGCGCGGGTGGGTCGTGAGAAGCCGCTTCGAGAGGTGCAACACGGGGACGCAGAAGGCGAGGGTCTTGCCGGAGCCCGTGCGCGCCTGCCCGAGGAGGTCGTAGCCCTCGATAACATAGGGTACTGTGCGCTGTTGAATCGGCCGCATGCGGTGGAAACCCTCCGCCTGCAGCGCGGCGACGATCACCGGATCGAGCGCCACTAACGGGTGGTCGAAGGGAGCGCCCTCGTCAACGGCTTTCGCGACGCCGTGCGCTTCTCGGGTGTCGACATCATCTCGGGTAGGGGAGTCCGCAGCGGGGTTCTCCCCTCCCTGTTCAGCCGGGGAACTATCACTTTGGGAGCGACGGCCTCGCCGCTCCGCAGGAAGTGCGGGGTGAAGGGTTTTTTCGGACTGGAAGCGATGCCCGAGGTAGCGGCGCGTGATGGCGACCGCCCTTGCATCATCACTTTCATCGCCAGAATCACCATCTGGCTTCGAGCCGCCGCGCTGGCGCTTTCGAGTTAAAGGCTTGAGGTGGCTCGTGCGGCGGCGTTCATGCTCTTCCCGAATGTGCTCGAGGTAATCCTCGTCCTGCATCCGGAAGAACTCACTCTTTTTCATCTTCAGCGGCAGGTAAGCGTCGTCTTGGGAGTCGAACGACCCAGCCGACGCGTTGTCAGGAAAATCATTCTCACTTCCATCTGATCCTATACTTGGCCCTTTCTCCTCACAAACATCTCGGTTGTAGTCGTAGCTATCCAGATCACCGCCATGGAAGGAGGTGCTTATGCCACTCATTTTGCCAGTTGCATGCATCTCCTCCGAGGCTTTAGCCTGCATGCGCAATAGCTTCTTTCGGCGGCCTTTAATTCCCATGTTGATGCACTAACAAGTTAGACCTTTAAATACCTTAACTTTAATGTTTTTGTGATTCACAATTGATTCAAGAAAGAATAAATTACGACAGTATCGAGAAAAAATAGCAAATTTAGGAATAAAACAAGTTGATTTTTAAGAGGATCCCCAAACAGATCCCCAATTTATTGGTTGGTATTCTTTTTCATGTCGTTGTTGGTCTATTCTTTGCTAGTCCAGCACACCTCAATAACGACAAAAATGCCACAATGGGTGGGATATTTTATTATTAATAGAGAAACAAAATGATGGGACCCATCCTTCGAGGCAAAGAGACTCAAAGAATAGGGAAAGATGAACAGTGGAAGAAATGGACCGTATAAAAAAAATTAGGTGGGTCAGGTTTTACTACCCAAATAGAAGAAACTGCATATTTCGCCATTGAAATCAGCTGTACTCCGAAAAAAGTCCAACATACAGCACTCCTGTTTTCATACCCAATCCTTTACGAAGCAAGTTCACTGGCTGCGGCCGCGGGGCACACTTAAGATGTGCTTGTTTCCAAAAGAACCACCCATGGCGGCACTTGATGGCACCAATTTCTTCCGCACACTTAGGGAAGTACCCAGTTCCAGGCGGTATGCAGTGTTGTTGAGCATGCGGTTCGGACGTACAACCAGGGCAAGATTTATCGCCTTCATTGTCATTCGGCCTGTTTTTATCAGACCAAGCAACAGATAACAAAGTATCAGTGGTCTGCCTTCCAACTTCCACGAATTGCTCGGCCTTGTCGTCACGACTGCCTCGGATAGAAAAATAATCCACACTGGCACCGTATGAGCCCTGTTGCGAGCCAAGCGGTGGCGGCGGCTGATAGAAGCAGAGATGGTCTCCCGCCTCCATCGCGCTCAGCTCCTCCAGTACGCCGCTCGGCACCAAATGGGGATGCAGAGCCATCGTAAACGTACAGCTAAGCCGCAGATCCTTGACGGCGCGGTCCATCATCGTCTCCCCACACGACTCCTCCGCGCCGCCACCGCCTTGGTTGGGTCCATCCCGCGCCGCCCCTTTCCCTGATGGTTCGCCATCGCTTGGAGGAGGTCCGTCCCCGCAATGGGGAGTCATGACCGAGCGGCGAGCCCCCTCATGTCGGGCCGGCTTCCCCCGCGTCAAACGGCGAAGGGCGCACTGGCGGAGTCGCTCCGCGACCGGGCTGCGTCCGGTATCGAGTGTCGCGTTGACACAAGGGTGGAAGTACCGCCCTCCCACGAAGGCCCGCCACACCCCAAAGAGGTCTGTCCCGGACGCGAGACTGAACTTCAATCCCGCGGCATTCCGCGGTAACAAAGGGGCGTGGAAGGGGTCCATGGAGAAGTGGGAGTAGGACGCGTAGGTCTGCGGCACGGCCGCCGCCAGGCGGGAGAAGAAGCCGCCCGGCCAGTCACTGAAGGCATGGTGGACGGACCGCGAGAAGGCCCCGGCCGCGGCGGCCTCCGTGGCCGCAGCGACCTCCCCTTCACGGGGCACAGGGGGGTGGCGGCGGGAAGGAGGGGCATCACCGCGCTTCATCTCCAACCGCTGAACCGTCTCCAGGGCGTCTTGAATCACCTCAGAGGTAACGAAGGTCGGTGACGGCGAGGACGCGAGGGTCGAATCTGGGGCACCGAATATCACCTCGCATAGCCCCGCCGCCCCGAGCTCCACAACCAGCGGCAAATAACCGCGGATATCCATCTCGCGGGGGATGGGCAGGCGGCGCTGCCATAGGATGTCGCCGGAGTCCATTGCGGCCTTCCCCGGGGGCAGCCGGATGACGCTTACGCCCCCTTCGGCCTCGTTTCTCATCAGCGTCGAGAAGACGGGGCTCGCGCCGCGGTAGCGAGGGAGCAGCGAGGGGTGCATGTTGATCGTGCACGGCAGCCGACGCAAGAGTCTTTCCGGAAGGAAATAGCGGAAGGAGACCACAACGGCGAGATCAAAGTCGCGTAAAGGGCGCCCAGCGGCGCGCCACGTCCATGGTGGCGGGGGAGAGCCATCGATTTCAGGGCTAGGCGCATGCTCGGGGCGGCAAACCGTCTCGCCCGCGGTGCTTGTGGGAAGACGGTCCTGAAGTGAAGCGGACGCAAGCAAGGTACTCGCCGCTGAAGCGTGATCGTCTTTCGCGAAATCCGAGGCACCTTCCAGCATCTCCTGCAGCAGTAGACTCTTCGCGAAGGAGTGAGGGTGGTCAACCGGGATCACGTGAAGCCCCTCCGCCGCCGCGTAGCGGGCGATAGGGTACTGTCGTGTGTAGGTATCGATAACCTGCCTTGGTGTAAGACCGCTTGGCAGGGAGGGGCAGACCACTGTTAGATGATCCCTCACAAGCGCTTCGACGAGTTCGTCATGGTTCCCCCCAACAACGCCCTCTTGGAGGGAGCTGGAATGAGTTGTGTGGCCGAAAATGCAACGCATGCGCGCATGCAGCGCTTTAAGGGAAGCCAAGGATACCACATCGCCACCAAAGAAGATAACGCGAGGCACGACGGCTTGGCTTGACTGAGGCGATAGATCGCGCTTCATTTGTAGCTCATCATGCCTACGGGAATCAGCACCATCACCATAGCTAGGGTTAGGGGGACCTTGAGAATTTGATAACGCCACAAAACTGTCTCGAAACAATCCACCATTTAAATGGAGCTCTCTAATGCTGAAACACATAAAGGGGCTTTTGGTCACGGCAAGACTTATGAAGGTAGAAAACGGTCTCAAGAAGAAACTGCTTGGGAGTGTGCGTAAGGAACAGCACATGTCTAGGCGTCGTTTATGGCGCCGGGACAGCCGTCGAAGTGCTGAGGAAGAAAACCCCCTAATGGGGGCAAATCAGACCAGAGCGTAGCTTCTGAGATGGTGCGAGTTGGGTTGGAATGATTTCGTGTTAGAAAAGAAGTTGTTTTCCTAGCGAAGTCAGCATCACTGATTTACCCTAAGCAAATTTTTTATTCCAAGCAAAAGGGATAAAGCAAACATAAAAGGAATTATTGAGGAGGAGGCTATTCCGCGTTATTACTATCATGCTTTTAAAATGACACATCCCTACTTAAAATCTGCTTGATTGAATTTAAACAACCACATTCTTCTGAAAAAAAGTCTTGACCAATGAATAACAGTTAAGCATGATAAGGTCTTTGAGTGGCAGATATACATCCAACCCTAAAGGAATATCCATTATTTGCATCTCACTTTAGTTTCAATTGTTATATATTAGCTTAACTAAGTTAGTTTCTTTAGATTGAAGCCGAAAAGTAGTGATAAAAAATAACAAATGAAAGTAATGCATATTTTATAGAGATGTATATTTCAGTTATTTTTAACCTTTAATATTTCTGTTTATAATCTTCTTGCTTAAAAAAGGGGGAAAAAATAAATGCCTTTTTATACTCCATCTTTTCCGAATGCGCCCCCAAGCATGTTATGTATTGCATATGAAGTTTAACTTTATTATTCTAAATCTTTTAATTGCACTGTTTCCTTTTAGTCGCATATTACTCCCACTACGTTTCACTATTTCCTCACAAAAAAAGTAAAGCTAAGAAGCACCTTCTGAATTGCAAAAATAGAAAAAAACAGAACCCACAGATGTACATAAAAAATTAATCCCAGTAAAAAATGCGAAATTGATAACAACAAAAGAAGAGCAATCAAAAGTAGCACAAGAAGATGAACCTGATGTAAAAAAAAGTGCATATGAATGAATACATATAGCGTGAGATGGTAATAACCAACACGCTAGTAATGTTAAAATACAACAAGTATAGATTTAAAAAGTACTAACATATAAAGAGAACACTTTTCATCAGTGCACGGCATGCAGGATAAAAATGTGGGGCAAAAATATTCTCAATATTGGGTTTTATATCTTTCAATTAAAAAGCACATCAAAATCAAAAAACTTGAAATGAACCCTAACTAACAAAGAGAGGATAGAATAAATAGTGAAGCAAATTATGAAAAGTTTAGTAATATGGAAAGCTTAAAAAAAAAAGAATTATCCACAATACATCAGGCTAAATCACGTTGCCATTTATTTATTCTCACTTACTATTTTCACAAAATAAAAAAGAGCAATTCATTTTATTAAGTATCTTTTTCCCATCTCAAATAAATAAATATGAATATATATACGTATATATTCGATATTATAGATATAAACATTTTTATTCCCCTGCATTCATTCTTCGAAAATGTCAAGCAAGGCGTTTGACTTCCCACTTAGTTCACATTTTTCTTCTGTTTGTGCACCAAGAAGGACATTTTGAGGACCTTGGAAAGTCAATTACCGTTTATTTCGCTAATTCATTTTTGTAGTCAATCCGAACGGAAGCTTAACGCGTATATACGTTAGCTTCAATGATAATACACAAAGCTCGGCTACAAGTTCAAGAGAAAGGACATCAAAAATCCACGGAATAATATTTAAAAATTCACCAATAGGGATGCTTTACAGTGTGAAGAAAATAAGGATATTCTGAATCGATTGTGTGTACGCGTAGGTTGATAAGCCCAAATTATGAAGATCGAAAATTATACAAATATCTCATCTCGTTTTCATAATAACAAGAACTTGTTGCTGATTAGTTTTCCACATACTGAGAGGTTTAAATATAATCCTCATTTGAAAAACAGATGTATAAAACTTTTTCTTACGGAGCTCAAATCTTAATTATTATTGGTGAGACAATCAAATTTATTCCATGGTTGTTCATGCTTTATTTAGTGAAGCTCGTCAAAAAATAAATGAAAAGGACAACAATAATCAGGAGGGGTAAAAATCTTGAGGAAAGTAAATGAACTTGCCTATCCAGCAAAAATGTCTAGACAGATACAAATTTACGTATACTACTTTCTTTTGAGAGTTTAAAGGTTACTTTCAATAATCAGTTCAACTACAAAACATAAGAGATAAATCAATATCATATATATATCACTTAATAGAATCTATAGTATTCCGAAAAAAGCGATAGCGATTGTACACATATATGCACGCTATATAATATGTACACATGAAGACTTCTTGAAAAGCGTCAAAAAACACTTACAATAGACCCAAAACGCCCAAAAGAAAAGAAACGTAAAACTTGCAATAAGCTATAAAAAAGAACATCCCACCTTTCTGTTATAAAATAACAAAACAAATGTGTGTACAGACCGGGTCGTCCGACCATCGATGGCGGTGCGGAAACCCCCTCCCTCACACTAGCGGGCACATGTTGCTTTCCTCTTTCCCTAATTTCACTCTCTCCCCCTCCCCTAGACATACACACGTTTTTGTGGACTTCGTCCAAGCTGGCCTCCACACCTCAGCACCGTCCGCGCGCGTAGACGTGGGCGCCGCACATGTCGTACTCCTCCACGGTCACCCACACGCTGCAGCCGAGGGCCTCCCACACACGACGCTCACACCGATGAAGGTGGGCGGGCCGAAGGCGAAGGTAAACACCGCCAGAAGAGGAGGGCCGCGCATGGGCTTTTGGTGGGATCTCCAGCCCGTCCTCTTCTCCCCCTTCCCGTGGCGCGGCCGCGAAAGGGGAGATCCCCGACCGTTGATACTCCCGCACCGAATCCACCACCGCGCAGACAGAAACGGCGTCGTAGGTGGTATCGCCGTGAAACTTATTCGAGAGCATCAGGGCAGCCAAGAAGCAGCGGAGGCTCGTTGATTTCGTCCACCGAATCCGCTCCATCCCCCCGCGCGAGGGGTCCTCGCCGTTCTCGGAGTGGTCGCAGATAGAAAAATGAGGGGTTGTGTGCGAGGAAGGCCCCTCCCCTCCACCCCGAGTGCTGTGGGAGAGCAACGTGTACGGGGAATCTCGCGAGGTTTCCGCGTGCGCCCGTGCGGCGGCCTCGCGGTCGCCCGCGTCGTCCGCCGGTGGCCGTTGATACCACTGCGGGTAGCGCTCTGTTAGCCGGTTCACCAGACATAAGGTGTGCAGCAGGATATCCGTCGTCGCCCAGGAGGACTCCACGAAGATGATATCCATGAGCTCGTCCAGGTTGTTATTGGTAAAGTCCTGAAAAGTGAGCTTGGCGCCACGGCAGAGGATCTTCTTCAACGCGTACGACTCCTGCGCATCCCCAGCCGAAGGGTTGATCCACGGCTTTTCAAGCATCACGGCGCCCGTCCGGTGGGCTGGTGGGGGAGCCTCACCGGAACGGAGTACGGTGGTGCTGTCGCTTTGCCCAGCATCCTCACCCCACCCACTCAACGGCAGAAGACTTATGGAGGAGAGCTTCGCGGCGATGGTGAAAGGGTTGCCCTCCGACAAAGAGATCGAGTTCTGGAATGTGGAGGTGGAATGGAAGGACTGGGCGTCTGAAAATTTGCGCTGGATAGGCATCGTCGGGGTTTTCACAAAGTCCTCCCTAGTCATGAGAAGCTCAATCTCGAGATTCTTTGTGCGGTCCTCTACACGAAAGCTATCGCTCTCAAGTATTTTATTCAAAAGATCCCTCCCGCCTGTTAGTTCACCCAGGAAAAGTCGGCCCGTGCATGGGAAGGAATGTTGCACTGTATCCGTACAGATGTTCATTTCCTTCACGTTCTCCTTGACGCAGGTGCAAGAAGAAGTGCGGTAGCTGTTGGCGTGAAAAGTAGGAAATGGAAAGACTTGTGGCTCTGAAGTTTCCGAAGGTATGGACTCATTAGATTGAATACATGATGTGATGTCGAAATTTAACAAGTCATCTGAATCTTTGATCTGGAAGGGTGAAATATGCAAATTCTCCTGTGAGAATATCGTAGCGTTAGACGTCGTTTTCCTTTTTGGAGCATTTGCGTACATTGTATCGGATAGATTTAAGTCACAGATATCAAAGGAAGAGCTGTAAGTCAAGGCTATACGCAAGGTGTTTTCCTGTATGTGGAAGATACTCGCTAAATTGTGTGTATTCCCTTTGAAACAGGAGAAAAAGGCGTACCGTCCTGGTCTCACGTAACTCTTAATAAGAAAGTTTATTTGAGAGACCTTTACTATCCTGTTCTTTTCGTGATGCTCTTTCTATCCCTACTTCTCCCTTTCAGGATAATATATGGACGTTAGTGCAAAATTGGCAAGATATGAAATGCCAAGAGATTGTCTGATTCAAACAAAGTACAAATTATATCAAATTATAAAAGTGATATTACAAGAAAATCAGTAATACAGATATAAGCAATAAGTATAATATATATGTATATATATATATTATACTTATAAAAATGGAAGAGCGCAAGTTTTTGCGAGTCTTAGTATGATAAATTTGTCGACAAACAGCCAACGTGCAAATGTGTATAGTTGCGTATAAAAATTTTAAAAAATTAAAAAGTAATACTCCGCTCCAAAATTGTCTCAGTTACTATATAAAACAAATAAAAAATAACTATTTTTACTTAAAAACTCCTGAATGATAATAAATTGATGCCTAGATGAAAAAATCTTCGTAATGTTATTGGTAACGGAGAGACTCTCCGTGCTTACTATCCCCTTATTTACCACTACAACTTTAGGAAATAGACGATTACTTACTTTTGACTTTGCAAATTTTCAGCACTTCACGATTCAAAGGAAAACCAGAGGATACGAAATGAGGAACACTGTTTCCCTATAAACAATAGAAAAACGTGCCCCTGTACGGATTTTCAGGTGAACCAAAAAGTTCGTGAGCTCCAAAAAGGCTATGTAAAAGGAAGGCTTTTAACGAAGGCAGAACCTATGAGAAAATATATATCAGGGGAAGCCCCAAAACACTTGCTCTGGAAATAAGGAAAAATATCGCTTTTGTTTTCCTTTTATTATTTTGAAAGCGTCAGCAACCTTTGTCCGCTTATTTCCAATATCAGCAAGCCTTCTGTTCAGGATCTCAATCCACACTTGAAAAACAACAATAATAATACCTGTTTGTTTCGTGACTCTGGGATTAGTAGTTCCTTTGAAAGTGGATCAGGTCTCTGATTGGCTTGTTCCCTTATCTTTTAGGATTATTTTAGCTGTTGCTTACGTATTAAAACAGTATTGCGTTTGATCTTAAATTGACACACGTACGCATATGAAAGGAAAACTCACCACTGCACAACAGTTTAGTGCTTTGAATTCACTGCTTTTAAATTTGTCTCTTTCTGTTTATGGTACTTTCCTTCTATCCGTGTACCCTTCTTTGAAGAATTTTATGCCTTTGCCTAGAAGATAGGTTGGAAAGATTTATGTACTTACTATAAATATCCCTTCTACTTTAATAAAACTTCAGTATTAAACCTACGAGCTACCTCAAAAAACTAAATATTTTATACTACTCATGCATTTGTATTGAAATAACGAGAAAATGGAAATTAAATAGAAAAAGATTGAACGCAGCCTCGTTTACCTTGCACTGTGATTACATGGTTGACAACATGATGATTTAAGCTTGTTAGGACTGAAAATTGCTTATCAGAATAATTTATTATACAAAAAAATATTAATTTAATAAGACCTCTTATCGTAAAAGATTCATCCTCTAAAAGAAAATATTGAGGATGGAATAATACAGATCATCTGAGACGCCTTGACTGGAAAGCTAATTTATCTCATCATAAAGAAAATAAAATAAATACATTTACGCGAAACTTTCATCTTTGCTCGTGTGCTTTCCCACAGGCAAAACAAGTGTATAAGTGAAGCACAGATAAGGGACAGACATCAAGTTATATAAATATATATATATAACTTAACATGCAAAAAACGGCATTGGAGCTTGTGGAGTTCAAGGAATTTATGTAGATAGCCCTCCCAAAACAGCGAGAAGGTATGTAGAGGTCCCAATCATTTTTCTCATTCATTATTCTTTTAATAATAATAAATATAATTGTAATAATAAAAGGGAAAGTACGATTCTCATCATTCATCGTTACTATCGATCTCCCCCTCACCTTCCTTAGCCTTCTCGTTCTCAATCGAACCACCTACGTCATCCTCCTCGTCACTATCAGCAGCTGGGGTTCCCACGAGATCAAACCACGTTCCCCCATGTGCCTTCGCAAGCTTTAAGCAGATCTCCTCCTTGGACGACTTTATCCTGTACGAGGACGCCTCCGGGTTGACCTTTTTCGCCAGAGAAAGGCGAAGCTGCTTGCAGTTTCGTGCCGCGGAGGCGACGGTTGTCGTGGAAAAGGTGACTCGAACAGACTTGGCGAGAATCTCCACCTCTACGGAGCTCTCGTCCAGCACCTCACCCGCCTCCTCAGCGACCCGCACGTACACGGAAACCGTCTTAGGGCCGTCATCACACCATTGGTACTTCTTTACCGTAGCGGGAAGTCGCTCATGGGTGGGCTTCGCCACCACGTCATCGCGACTCACCAAAACAGGGGAGGGCATCGGGGCGACATCACCGACCTTTGCGCGCTCCTTCTCGTGGCCGTGCCAGTAGTAATACGAGCTATTCTTTGGGCGCGGGGCGTCGGCCTTATTCTCGGTGGTTTCGGTCTCATTAAGCACGGCTGGCTTGGTTTCCTCCAGAGCCGGTGCCTCCTGATCTACCAATACGGATTCCGGCATAGCTTTTCCCCTTTAATGTTGTGAAGAATGAGTTAGTTTAATAATAATAAAGTAAAATATTAGTTGTATGTGACTCGGGTGAATTTTTAATGCACGCGCTGTTGTTTAGGCTTGTAGATATGTCTTTTAAAATTTATTGAATTATCGAAAGAAGAGATAGCCAATGAAACAAAAACAGTTCGGCGTGAATTAAGTTAATCCAACACCAGGATCCCATTAAGATAAATTGAAACCCCATACTATAGATCAACTGGATCAATATGAGTTTAGTCGATCACTTCTCACCATACTTCTATACAATTTTTTCAAGTGTTATGTAACTTCTTGGCTAATGTTATCGTACCCGTGCTGTATCTCCAATAGAATCGTTCAGAATATTACGCATGTTTAGAAACATATAATACCTGAATTCAAATCTTTACTATGAACTCTGGACACTATGCATAGCATTATTGACCAATTCATCAGTTTGAAAAGAACAAATCGTTCATCAGTAAAATCATGTATATAACTGAGGGGTCTCCCTTCTGCGAAAGATTTCGCTAGTGTAATTATTCGTTCGTATAGCAATACCACCCGGCCCTCGCATCAATCCCACCCCTTGCCGCGTTCCCATTTCTCTACCAGACTAGCTGATATGCCTAGACGTGTCACTGCTTTTTTACAACTTAGCTGGGGTTGTTTCCATACTTCGTTGCTAAAGACTTCTGTCTATCTGCGGCACCTCGGCGCCATCTCGACGTCCACGAAGTCGTCACCATCATCACTATTTACTCCAAGAAGGCTAAACATTGGAGAAACTTGCCGATCACTCGCGGCATTCCTTACCGAAACTGCGGCTATGAACCTATCATAAGTCAAGAGCTGTGAGCCAGACACAAATTTCTCAAACAAATCTAGCCTTACATCTTGTTCTTCACGTGAGAGCTTGGCTCTTGCCTTGGTCTCATCACGGCTAACCTCGATCGGAGTTGCGGAGATCCGATTAGATGAAGTTAGTGACGACACCCGCTTGTTCGAATCTAGGTCAAGGAAAACTGAATGCAGCAAGGCCTTCTCAGTCAATGCACGATTTGAATCAACAGAAGAAGATCTCACACTAAGACAAGAAACCAGGCGCT